AGAGCTCAGTCCTGCAAACCGAGACGGCCGTGTTGTGGAGACGGCGGGAGTCGTCACCTGCACTTCCATCGTGTGATCGACCGTCGGAGGCCAATCCCGCCAACGCACTGGGGACCCGCCCAGTCTCCATTTCGCTTCCAACCTTGGAACGAATCCCCCATTACCTCATCACCCAACCTTTCCATCCTCCGGCTCTCTCCCGGCTTCAACTCTCCTCTCCCCATCCCCTATCTCCATCAAACTCCCATCACCATCTTCCATCAAGTTTCTTGTTTCGTGTTGCTTATTCTCTACGTCACATTCGTATTTTATATTATATCCTCTTCTCCTCTGCGTCTTGGCCTGACCAGCCACCATGAAGCCCACCCTGCTGCTTGCAGCGACTGCTCTTCTGGGCGTGTCGTCTGCAAAGGTGCATAAGCTAAAACTCCAGAAAATACCTCTCTCGGAGCAGTTTGTAAGTGAATAGTTTTTGGTAGTGATAGTAGCTTATTTTTGTTTTATCGAGAGGTGATCCCGAACTAACCGCGCGCGCGATGGACTTCCAGGCCAATGTCAACATCGACGCCCACGTCCGGGCGCTTGGGCAAAAGTACATGGGAGTCAAACCGAATCAAAATGGCCAGGACGTTTTCGGAGACCCTGCCAAAGCTTCTGGGGGTCATTCTCTTCCAGTAGACAACTTCCTCAACGCTCAATGTATGTTATACTAGAAATGATATTTCTCCTCAGCAGCCTGCCTGTCTGCCTGCCCACGCACCCTGTGATTCGCAAACTTCCCAGTGGAATTCGCCAGCTAACTAGCCGCTAGATTTTTCTGAGATTGGCATCGGTACTCCACCCCAGACGTTCAAGGTTGTCCTCGATACAGGAAGCTCCAACCTCTGGGTTCCATCATCCGAATGTGGCTCCATCGCCTGCTACCTTCATAACAAGTACGACTCGTCCGCGTCGTCCACCCACAAGAAGAATGGTTCCGAATTCTCCATTACCTACGGCTCTGGCAGTCTCACTGGCTTCGTTTCACAAGATTGTCTGACGATTGGTGACCTGGTTGTGGAAAGCCAAGTTTTTGCTGAGGCAACCAGTGAGCCTGGTCTTGCATTTGCCTTTGGCCGATTTGACGGCATCCTTGGCTTGGGATACGACACTATCTCCGTCAACAAGATCGTCCCTCCGTTCTACGAAATGCTCAACAATAACCTACTTGACGAACCCATGTTCAGCTTTTATCTGGGTGATGCCAACGTCGATAGCGATGACTCAGAGGTCGTTTTTGGAGGCATGAATGAGGATCGTTTTACGGGGAAACTTACAAAGATCCCTCTTCGCCGCAAGGCCTACTGGGAGGTTGATCTTGATTCTATCACCTTCGGCAAGCAGACTGCTCTGATGTCCAACACGGGTGTAATCCTTGACACCGGCACATCCCTCATTGCACTCCCTTCTACCATCGCCGAGCTTCTGTAAGTACACTCTGCTCTGTATCAGTATCGATACAAATGTGCCGGTCACTGGGCTAACGTGTATATTTGCTATCAGTAACAAGGAAATCGGGGCCAAGAAGTCTTTCAATGGGCAATACACTGTTGAATGTGCGAAGCGTGACAGTCTCCCCAATCTGACATTCGGTCTGTCCGGCCATAACTTCACCATCGGTCCTTATGACTACACCTTAGAGGTGCAGGGGACCTGCATCAGCAGCTTCATGGGCATGGATTTCCCAGCGCCGGTTGGCCCTCTTGCCATCCTTGGCGATGCCTTCTTGAGAAGATACTATACCGTCTATGACTTGGGCAATGATGCTGTCGGCTTGGCTCCAGTCAAGTAAAACTCAACTGTCTTTGTGTGTGTTTTTATCTGTCGTCTCCTTTTGTTGGCATTTAGGTAGAGCAGGGGAGCTTTGTATGCACGTTAGGTAGCTGGCGAGGAGAAAGGATAGGACAATTAATCAATCAATCGTTCCACGATGTGCTGGTTTCTTTTCTGTCTTTTTGTGTGTGTGTGTGTGTGTGTGTGTGTGTGTGTGTGTGTGTGTGTAGTTTTCTCCCTGGTCATCCTTTGCTGCTTGTGGGATCCGTAGCCATCTGTTAAACCATCCCGTCAACCTTTTGCTTCCTGTTTATTTGCCTGGCCTGTTTGATTAAATCTTTTTTTTTGTCCTTTCCCATCATTTTTCCCCCTCTTCTTGCAGTGCCCAAATACCATCTCACCTCCAGTAAATTTTTGCCAATGTTTACCGTTTGTAGCTGATAGCTGGCGGACGGAACATCTCACACTGCAGACCGTGGCTGTATATGTAGTTGACAGTCCCTTGCCACTCCCTATATCTATATCTATCAACCTCTACTATATTTTATGATTTTTGAGAGCTAGCTCTGGTTGCAGTGAACTGTTCGACACCATAATGCCAGTGTAAAATAGACCACTCCGTGCTCTTCATACTCGATCGGACGAGGAACCGCGGACGGAAGAAGGCGATTGTTCTTCCGGTTCTGTAATAAACGTACAGCTACGACAGCATGGGCCCCAGAGCTGCTCGCCTTATGTATTATGTATGGGCGAACTACCACACGGATCAAACGTCAACGTCTGGAAGTGCACGCCCACTGCGCAGAGTTAACATTGTTCCCGGTGGCCCACCAACCATGTTCGGCGCCGCCAGCTAGCCAGCGCCAGCGCC